TGAAGCAAGCTTGCACGGCTTTTAAAAAGTATCGATGGTGGTCTTCCTGCAAAGGTTACAGAGTTTGAGATGCTTGGCCAAAAGGTTTTTCGATGCTCGGCGGAGGGTTTTTCGATGCTGGGCGGCAGGTGTTCGATGCTCGGCAGAAGGATTTTTCGTTGCTCGCCGGAAAAGGATGGTTGCCGCCGGACCTGGATCGATGCTGGCGGGCCGTTTACGTTGTTTTCTTTCGTTGTTATGAGACATCTTTCGTTGTCCGCCGGTAGTTTTTCGTTGTTCGCCGGTACCCACCCTGGGGGATACTCTGGGTTGGCACTCCAGGGACTCTCTGGGCTTTGGCACTCCAGGAACTCTCTAGCGATGCTCTGGCGTTGGGCATCACTCTCTTCAGAAACTCTCTGCAGATAGCTTGAAACCTAGAATTGAGCGTTGAGGGCAGCGCCGGGGTTTAGGGTTTAGGGTGCAGGGTTTAGGGTTTATAATGTTTAGGGTTTAGGGTTTAGGTTCAGGCTGTGGTTGGAGGGAGGTGAGCTTAGGCTGAGCTTCTACTTTGAAGGGTCCAGGGAAGGCTCGGGCCGTCGAGGGAGACGTCAAGCTTTCGCGGAGCTTTCACGGAGCTTTCACGGAGTGTGCGCCACATTTTGCTTCCAGGAAACGGAAATGTTGACTTTCGTGAAAACTTTGCGGGCGCACGCAAGACCGTCGAAAGAAATAAGTTTCTTTGGCACGCCTGTTCACGAATCTTTCGCGGACGCTCACATGTCATGGATATGTAGAATACAAATTGCCCTACTGCAAGGACCTATAGATCAACACCCATATCAAGATAGCAGGTTCTTGGATCTCAAAGTCTCGGCAGCCTCCTCTTCCAACTTGTCGTACGTGTCGGATTTTGTGCGGCTCCGACTGGCAACCTAGTCCAGAAGGCACCGATAAAGAGTTGAGAAAGGCAGAGCATCCCTCCTCACATCATCTTGTAGGCCCCTTCGCCTCATTTCGTGTCGTTTTGGATGGAGTTGGCCTCCTGCGATTGTCCTGGCAGAGCTAGGCTTGTACAAGACAAACATCTCTGACTGCAGAGGCTGCTCACGAAGTGCTCACGTGCACATCACCGACCGATCATAGCTGCAACACTCCCCGCCTGGCCAGCGTCGCTCGCCCTGGATGGAGGCTGCAAGCTTGCACCCAACAAGGCTCGCGACTGACTCTAGAAGAACTTCCGATCAAACTACAACATTCCAAGAGACCACGACCATACACGACCATGAACGTGTGAAGAAGAGAGCCCTGCGCCTCAGGACTCGATGTGGCACGGGATCTGACCGACTAGAGCCTGGCGCGGTCAGGACACTTGCCAACGGTGTCTAAGCTCAAAAGGAGTAGCAGCAGCCCTTCCTATACTCCCCTTAGAACCTTAATAATAATAATCATGATAATAATAAATAATAATAAATAATAATAATGATAATAATAATAATAATAATATTTTGGGTGAATATAGCTTCACTGCAAAAAAAATCCTCCAAAAAAAGGGGGGCTCATCGCCTGGACTGCTCGCTCCTCGAGTGCTGCTAGTGGCGCTGGCTGGCCGCCTTGCACGTATGGCATTTCTTGGAACGAGCAGACCACGGGTACTTCATAGCTGAACGGGGTTTAGGGTTTAGGGTTTAGGGTTTAGGGTTTAGGGTTTAGGGTATAGGGTTTAGGGTTTAGGGTTTAGGGTTTAGGGTTTAGGGTTTAAAGGTTTAGGGTTTAAGCTTCAAAACTTGCATGCTTCAACTCGCAAATGAGGCTCCGGCTCACTCATCGCACTATGGCATGCCTTGCACGTTCGGACAGCTGGGCAAATGCTTCAAACCCTAAACCCTAAACCCTAAACCCTAAACCCTAAACCCTAAACCCTAAACCCTAAACCCTAAACCCTAAACCCTAAACCCAAGGCCAAGCAGAGGGGGCCTCGACTCGCTGAAGCCAGCGGCCCTCGAGAGGAGGCCGCGCCAGGCCCGAGACGCGCCGCCTCAACAGGGTTCAGGGACGTTTAGGGTTTATGGGGTATGGGGTTTAGGGTTTAGGGTTTAGGGTTTAGGGTTTAGGGTTTAGGGTTTAGGGTTTAGGGTTTAGGGTTTAGGGTTTAGGGTTTAGGGTTTAGGGTTTAGGGTTTAGGGTTAGGAGGGCTTCGTCCAACACGAAAGTACGAAAGTGCAGGCTTTGGGAATCACTTATGGAGCACGAGCCCGCACGCGAACCACTGCAGACTTCGAAACTCGCGTCGGACTTGTGCCTGGGCCCGCTGGGTGACGCGCGCTCTCGGGCCTCTCGGATCCTGGGTTCAAGTCGAAGGTGCCACGAAAATGTGCTCATGAGCTGCTCATGTCAGTGTGTGCTCCGATATTCTGCCGATTGGCGGTGGTCTGCTCAGTGTTTCTGCCCATCCCCTGCGCTCCAACACGACCACTGACCTTCTACTGTTGGAGCTGTCGGGGTACCTCCTCTCTCCGACAATCATCTACGATACTCTCGAATCAAGTGGCAGCTTCCGCAAGAATGGGCACCAGTCATCACCGTCACCACCGTCATCACCACCACCGCCGCCACCACAATCGTCATCGGGATCATCATCGTCATCAGATCATAGTATCAGCAGCAGCAGCAGCAGCAGCAGCAGCAGCAGCACCAACATCGAACTTGAGAACAGGGCGAACGAAAACTAGAGCCCCGAAGCGGTGGTTTATTCGGCAGGGTTTATTTGCAGCTGTCGCAGCAAAGGATGCGGACTTTTGGGATTTGCGAGCTGTAGACTGCAGACATTCTGTTGTAGCATTTGACATTTACGCATTGGGTTTACACTTCTTGCGAAGAATCAGCTGCATGATGGCCAAAGGTCCAAAGTCCGGTCGCAAACCAAAACTCCTTCAAGCTCCAAGGAACTAGCTTTCGTGAATAGTGCCGATCCATCTCGTCATTGACATGAGGTGAAAAAAACATTCCGAATGCTGCGCTTTTATGAGCATGCTCCATAGTCCAAAGCAGCCTTGGTGTCTTAGCCACGGCACCGCGATTGTGAGGGCGAAGATGTCAATTTTGGAGTGCCAGGAGCTGTGGCACCTAACATCCAAGCTGATCAGTTCAGTCAGGCTAATGAGAGACCCCAAACCCTCAACCCTCAACCCTCCTGAACCCAAAACCCTAAGTTTTTTGGTAGGTGACCCCAATCTTCGGCCTTGTCGACCATTTGCCGCACAGGCCAGAAGGCAAGCTAAGGCAGCTGCCGTTGACGGAGGGATGCCGCGGCTCGACAACATCCACGCTTGCAGGCTGCAACCTCGGAGAGCATTGCTGCGCAGTGGGAGTTGAGGCCTTTTTGGGGCTTCGCTTGAGGGCTATTGCATGATCTTGGTGCCGAAAGGGTCGCAATGATGGCCATTTTCTGTCGTGCAGGTGCCACACTGGAGACTTGGGCCGTTGCAGGAGGCCGTTTGCTGGAGAGTCCACTGACAGCCGCGCCTCAGCCAGGACAGGGCTGAAGCTGGTCAAGTCACCATGACTTGCCACTCCGAAGCACTGTTGCACAGGCCCGGGCAGAGTCCGGACCTCGATTGCAGGCAAACAAAAGCAGAGGGTTTAGGGTTTAGGGTGTAGGGTTTAGGGCTTAGGGCTTAGGGCTTAGGGTTTAGGGTTTAGGGCTTCCAGACCTCGCCGTGCTTTGTTCCTGGGGCCGGAGCTGGAAGCCATGGGCATGGCATAGCTGTTCGAGGCAACCTCAGAACGGGCGACGAGGGGTATGAACAACGGCGGTTCTCTGTAAGTCGGCACATTTAGGCACGTTCGGCCAGTTCATGTACGGCACTAGCTTGCACCAACACACGTGCGGAACTCAGTGCTTTGACAGCTACAGCAGTGTTAAAGCCCGCGCCGACGTTTCGGCTGGCAGTGCTTCGCTGCTGGCATCCGCCTCAGACCTCGGCTTTGAGCATTGCTTGGAAAGTAAAGGGTGGTGGACTCCGGCAAAAAGGATGCCGGGTTCGGAGCATCAGCGAAGTTGGCACACTTCCGCCATCAGACATTCTCTAGGCCACGCAGCCGCGTGCTTGCGAATTAGAGAGCATGAATGGATGTGTGGGACATACAGGAAAACGGCTTCCATCTAACAGTGTCACTCAACACTGCAGCTGATGTGGCAAGAAGCATGCGTTCGTTCAAAGTGTGACTGCTTTGGCATGCTGAACATGCTACGTGTGCTCTCGTCAGCTTCTTGCTGAGGTGATAGTCCATGTGGTCCATATCAATATCTGATCATCCTGCCTGGGGCCATCATCATTACCACAATCGGGGCAGCATGAAGAGGAGGCTCCTCATGACAACCATTGTTATCTGCGACTGTCGAATGCCACGCCACGTGCAAAGTCTGGATGCTGGCTGAACTGTCTTGCACTGTTTTCAGAAATCCTGCAAGCGGCGGAGCAGCTCACTCCTAAGCCAACCCCGGTGCGCGGTCGAAGGGGCTCACACCCACACGCGGCTTGTCCAGGCGCCGGCTGCTTGCAAGGACGACACGGGTGCTGACAGATTCTTTTCTCAAAATGGATGCTGGTGAAATGAGGGTACTGGGAAGTTTGTTTACGTGCCAGCACCTCCGCACTTGACATCTGGCATCTTCGGGCGGCATCTTTGGCAACCCCACATTCTTTATGGCAGACCCCCTGAAGGGTCGATTGAGTTGGAGCTTCTTTGGTTCCCGTAGCCTCAGCATCTGGGCTCGCTGGACATGTTCCCTCGTCCGCGCGCTCGAGTCGACGTCCCGATCGTGCTCGACAGCCTCGCCAAGCAAGGTGCGTGTCGCCATCGGATCCGTTCAGTTGTGAACGTACCGGAAATGGGACTCAACACACAAGAGCCCTTCACCCCTAGCCCCACTGACAACATCGGAAAGCCTTGCAGAAACTGAGGAGTCCTTGTTACCCTAACCCCCTGAAAGCATCCAGCAGCACGAGCCTGGTGAGTCAGGCGCTTGCCGCCAACTCGAACCTTTGCAGCATGAACTGCAACTGGGGTTCAGGAACCCAAAGGGCGTTGGTTGCAGGATGCGGGACTAGGACATTCGAACTTTGAAGTTGCGGGAATTGTCCTGGGGGCCTCGGGGCTTCTGTGCATGTGCCGCTGCGTGTCTCTGCGTGCCTCTGCGTGCCTCTGCGTGTCCCTGCGTGTCTCTGCGTGTCTCTGTGTGTCTCTCTCTGTCTCGCACAGGCAGACCGCTGAAAGCCAAGGACAGGACCACTGCTTCATCACGTCACTGAGAATAGCCGGCAGAGTCTGCAAGTCCTGCGGGTCGTAGAAAGCATAGCAACTGACAGACCCCAGCGTTGGACCCACCGAAGCCCTCAAAGCCCTTGAACAAACGTCAGAGGCAGAGAAAAGGGATGGGGGGAGGTGTAGAGGTCCAGAGTGGGCTCGGGGGGTGTTAGGTTGGGAATGGGGGAGATGAGAGGTTGGACAACTGAAGCAGAGAAACTCACCGGGTCATGATGGTGCAACGGTGGGCAGGGAGTCCTGCACGACCACATAGTAGGGGAATGGAAAGTCTGACAAATACGGCACGACCTGCGGCACCACAGACTGTGGGAAAATGTGCAGCTACGACTTATCGTTTCCAAAGCACGGGCCTGGCAGTTGCCCCCCTCATAGGAAACGGCACGCAGGTCGAAAACACTCCGCTTAGAACCGGAAGCCTGTGAGGTGCTCACTGGTCTGCATGGTCCATGCAGGCATGTCCCTCCATCTGCTCAACTCTGCGTCACCACACAGCAAGGCCCCGCACGTTCGCTGCCGGAGTTTCCTCGGACGGAACGCCGCAGCATTTCAAAAGTAACCGACTGCTTCGACAATCCCTGGTCATCGTGTATAGTGTATTGCTGGGATCCACGCAGACTCGGCATCGACAATGATCAGTAAGGGCAGCTGCTGCCGAGCCAGAGCAGCATGCACCTCGGTGCTGCATTCAGAAGGAAGCGTGAAAGCAAAAGGTTGAACAGTACCTCGGCATCCCTGCCTTCCATGATTCCATGATGGTTAGTGTTGTTCAAGCTCTTCTGCGGCAGACAAGGCTTCAAAAACTGGATGCCAAGAGGGCTTCCTGGGCTTCGAACCCACGGGCGCACCTTGTTCTTGTTGAAACGGCCATCAGAGATGATGATGCTCATCTGGCCTCTGAGGCTAACAGGGCCTACCCAGACTCATGTGTCCGTTGAATTTCAATTCAGGTCCACCCCCTAAACGGTGGAGAAGCCCTCATCTAAGATCAGCGATTGCCAGAAGCCCCCAAGAGGCCTCACACCCTCAAACCCTGAAGCCAGGCCGCAAAACTCGGCAAGACACTGACTTCCTCCAAGAGCCCCCCCGAAGCAGAGGGTTCAGCCCCCAAGACCCTGAGCGTACGGCTGAAAGGTCGGGCAGGATTTGGCCCATTTCGCCTGAGGGCAGCGGTGGGATCCGCTGACGCCGATGGGGGGTGAGGGCTTGACAAGGGGTTGAAGCCTTAGCCGGTCAAGAAAAACAATGAGCATTGGTTTTGCACTTCAGGATCTCGGGCTTGCTCTGCTGCCGCTTCTCAAGAACTTGCAGTGAAGAATGGGCTCCATTTTTACTTGTTTAAGTTGTCCACAATGCAAGGTCTCAACCCGACTCGAAACCCTGAACCCCTCAGAAGAGGCGCCACGGCCCTCAACCCTAAACCCTAAACCCCAAACCCTAAACCCTAAACCCTACACCTTAAACCCTAAACCCTAAACCCTAAACCCCAAACCCTAAACCGCTCTTGGGAGCGCGGCTCATCGAAGAGCTCCGAGCTGAGGCGCATGAGATCCGCCAGACTTCGGTTGTGGCTCCTTGGGAGGCAACAGCTGGCGGGGGGGGGGGGGTTAGGGTTTGGGGTTTGAGGTTTGGGGTTTAGGGTTTGGGGTTTAGGGTGGGGAAAATCATTTCAGGAGGCGTTTACAGGGTTTAGAGACTGGTTAGAGGACTTGCAGGGTTTGGGCTTGTAGGGTTTGTAGGGTTGTAGGGCTTATCGGGTTTGTAGGGTTCACGGTTGGGGCTGGAGACGGTTTGAGGGTTCGATTTTGGGGTTCAGGGCTGCGGGAGTGTCGGCTAGCTGGAACCAGTTTCGGCCACGTTCATGACCCACAACGACAAGAGCTGATCCTCACAATCAGCATTGAAACAACAGCAGACGATACATCGCGTGACTCGATGCTGCTCAAACTCTCTGGGCTTCAAGCTGGACAGATTCCTCCTCAAACGTGAACCTGAGCAGCGAGCAAGCCCAAGGTGGGCCAAGGTGGCCCAAGGTGGGGCCCAAGGTGGATCTTCCTTCTCCCACGACCCTCTCAGCCCGCGACTCCCGGAGCAGAGGACCAGCTTGGGCCCAGCTGAAGCTGTTGGCATGGGACTGCCTCGGTACTGTGCTTCCCGCTACATCGCTATCTAGGGTTTAGGGTTTAGGGTTTCGGGTTTGGGGTTTAGGGTTTAGGGTTTGGGGTTTAGGGTTTGGGGTTTGGGGTTTGGGGTTTGGGGTTTAGGGTTCCTTCTCGAACTTCTGAGCTCATGGAGTAGCATCCAAAGACTGAGGACGTCGGCCCTGAGCCCAAAGGAAGAAGCACGCGGGGAGTTGCCTCAACGTGTTGCTGGTCAGCCCCACATGTCTCTTTCTGACAGCAGCTTTTGAACACAACACAAGTAGCACCATGAGATACCTTGAGTCCTCTTAATAGGCTTAAAGGCTTAAAGGCTTCAGCGTTATAAAGAGTATGGGGCTTCGAGGCTTGCAAAGCACCCTGGTCACCTGGTCTGGGAAACCGGCGCTGCCAAAAGCGAGAACAGCATACTCGCCCACTTCCAGTTGGGCCAATGCCTGCACACGCTCCAAGAAATTCGCCACCGGTGCAGCACTCATCAAAAACATGGCTGGAAATGAAGTTGCACGACTTCGGAATGACCGTTGATGGTTCCTGATCAAACCGGTCAGCGAATGGAGCAACTTTGTTGGCATCCTCCACGAAACTTCGCACTACGAACGCAAGCTGGCTCAAGTGCCGGCCTGGCACAGGACGCAGAGGGTCTGCAGCGCATTGGGGCCAACGCCGCACTCCTTCCTTATGCTTTGTTATGCGGATGCCAGCGGACAAGGCCCCATGTCTAAAAGCCAAGAGCACCTGATCACACCCGAATCCCCCGAAAGCCCCAAACCTCAAACCCCCCAACCTTAAACCCCCCTAAACCCCCAAAACTTCCAAACCCCCCAAACTTCCCAAAGCCCGACGCTCCCCTTTCCAGGGCAGAGGCATGCTGCGAGAGTTGTCGATGGCCACTACGATCTGGCGGCCAAGTTGAGGCAGCAGATTGCGGGTTTCGGGGGAAGCTGGGGGAATGTTCATGGTTGACAAGGGCTCCTTATTCAATAGCAGAGGTTCCTGCAGGGGCACCCTCAAATATAGAGCGTTGGCATGGCCCTCTTTTCGAGAACACGGTGCTTTTGGCTCAGGCGGCTTGCGCATGGTTTGACATTGGGGCGTTTGCTTCGTGTTCAGCTGCGCATTCGCAACACTGCCGCCCTTGTACACAGGATTGGAATGCGCCCACGAATGGGCCGGCAATGTACAGATGAGACATCATTCATCCGGCCTGATATTCCCGCTTCGAAGGCTTTGTCCGCCGCAGCCAGATCTTGTCCCGGCGATAGTTGGAGGCAATGAAGGGGATGACCTGGGTGTGAAGACCCTTCAAAAAGAGTGTGCCATCTTCCTCCAACCAAAGACGCTGATGGGTAAGCAAAAGAAATCAATGGAACATAAAATTGGCCATGCCAGCTTAGGTCCCGAGCTCGTCTCATCGATATTCGCTTTCCAGTCCGGAAGTAGCCCTGCAAACGGCCTGTCAAAATCATGTCAAGGCCAGTGGGTGGCCAGCCGAGTCGTGTGGAGCTCGGTTGAAACAGCTTTTTTACATGAGGCATTGCTGACTTCCGTGGCTGCTACTGGTAGACTGAGCTACACTTGGGAGGTGCCTTTCAATGTCGGCTCGAGGATGGTCCTCAAGAGCTCCGGAGGTCTTACAGCCAAGCAATCCAACACACGAAGAACCGAGGCAGAACGGGGGTCCTCAGCTGCTCGCAGAGGGCGGCAGAAAGCGGGGTTGTGCTCCGCTCAAGCCTTGCAAGAAGAGGCGCTACTTTGACATGACAAAGATACGTCACGTTACCCTAAATCACATTTGTGCTCACGACATTGGGGCGGTGCTCCTGCAGCCTAATGCAGAATGCATGCGCATCGCTAGCACATGAAACGCGCCGGAAGCAAAACGGAAGCTGTAGTCCTATGCATCGAGAAACCCACGATGCGACGGCAACGGGCCCACTGAGGACCAGGCTGGCCCCAAAGCTGCATAGCTTCATGTTCCGACCTTCTCCGTGGATGCATCCACGACAACTCATGTAATCAGCTCTCTGATTTATGAGGTACCCTAAATAATAGGGGCCATGAGGACCCCAAAAAGGGACCAGAACTTGGGGAAATCACCATGTAGAGCAAGCACGGCCTCTTCCTCCAGCCACCTTCACCTTCCTCATCGACGTCCATGTCATCCGTGGTTGCCTCAAAAGTTTTGTTCAACAGTCTAGGGGCTTGGGGATTTCAGGTTAAGGGGTGTTTAGGGTTCAGGGCTTGGGGTCTAGGGTTTAGCGTTTAGGGAGTTTAGGGGGTCATGGTTTGCATTGTCGTGACAGCTCAGAAAATTTGTAGGGGCTGCACACCACCTGCAGCTACCACGGTCGCTTGCGGCGGGTCTTTCGTACACTGCACGTCTTAGAAAGCGCAGCGAAGCTTGTTAGTGGACCAAGTAGCACATTTCATAGAAGCACTGTGCTGTGCAACTCCATGAGGAACCATCGCTCACAACACTCGGTCAAGTGACCCTCATAGCTTGTATGGATAGTCTCAGGATGACAGGGGTAACTGAGTGACTGCATTGTTGAAGACGCAGCCCTTCCGGCACAGTAAGCTCAGAGTTACTCAGAATTCTCGCATCGCACAGGATGGGAGCAAGTTGGTTCATGTAGATTGCGCATTGTCATCGTTTGTAACGGAGTCGGAGTCGGAGTCGTCTAAGTCGGCAGGCTTGCACAGTCATAAACTCATAAACTGGATGAACGAACTTTACGAAATTTCGGCGGCCTGCCGTGCCGACGCAAGCGCTCCCGGTGCAGCTTGGACAGAGTTGACGCCACCACGAAAGCCCTGCACTGCTTGAACTCTGCAAGAAAGTCGATGAGGCGGATGATGTCCGTGCCTCGAGCTGCATGTCCTCGTCCGCGACTTCGGTCTGCAACAGGTCTTTGGACACGCCTCTGCGGCTGCAAACATGTCTGCTTTTGGAGCCTGGCATCCACACAACCGCACGGCCTACCTGACTTCTCGTTGGCTTGAGCATCTTCCGTCTCCTCAAAATGGACCGCAGTGTCATGTGACCGCAACCACGCAACCCCAGCACAGCTTCGTTTTTTCCAGCAGCGTCACACGGGAATGGCTCCGGTCAAATCTTGCTTTGCTTTCTGTTGTTGCTTTCTTGCCGCACCAAACTTCGTAGTTGTTTACAGCCGAACGACAGATGCATCTGATGGCGAACGACAGCAATAGATGATGCGATGATAAGATGATAAGATGCGCAGGGCAATCGAGAATGCAGTGCCTTGGCATGCCTTGACATTCAAGTGCCTGTAGGTGCTTTCGGCACTGCTCTTGCATCAGGGCCAACAGAAGAAGTAGTACTGTTCCACAATGGAACTGCTCTCGGAAGGAGAATAAACTTCTTGCGGCTCGAAACCAGGGGACACGATGCCACCTATTCCCATGCGCCCATTGTCGAATCCCCTGCGCAAATAGATCAACAAACAAACGCATGGCCGTCTCCTGAAGCCGCATATTAGGCCTGAGTCCCATCACCCCAGGCACGAGCAATCATGCGACACTTCGAAAACTTCACTCGCTGCACCTTGCATCAGTAAGTCGCTGACAGCATTTTGTTTTGGTCTTGCCCTGACGGCTTCGGGCTTAGAGTTCAGGAGTGCAGGGATAGGATCTATGTTCTCTAAGTTAGGGCCCCTTGTTGGGCCCTACCAAATACGTAATCAGGACCCAAAAAGAGACCCTAATTTAGAGAATTACCCATACAGACAGCGATGTACAGTGCTGGTCTGCCTGGTGTGTCTTCCTCCATTGCCGGGGCTTCGCCATCACTCTCCTCATCTGCCTGCGAAGTCTATTTCTGAGCACCTACAAGGAAACCTACACCATGAGCCCTAAATCCTAAATCCTAAATCCTAAACCCTAAATCCCAAAGCCTAAACCCTAAACCCAAACCCCAGCAAAACCCTAAGACCTCGACATCCCTAAAGGCCCTAAGCCGATGCCCCGCAGTCATCTCAGCCCACACTGCCTGCCCATCGGCACCCATCGCCTTCTGGTCCGCACCTGCCTGAAAGGTCGAGATTCCTCCCTAAACCCTAAACCCTAAGCCCTAAGCCCTAAACCCTAAACCCTAAACCCAAAACCAAGGCTTTCAGAGACGAAATGTCTAGATACTAGAGTAGCTTCTCAGGTTGAGGGCGGTGCTGCATCCTGGCACTCGCCCAGGGCTTCGAGGCCACTCTTGGGGTCTGCAAGGTGCAGTCCCTGCCTCAGGGGTCGATTTGGGGTTAGGGTTTAGGGTTTAGGGTTTAGGGTTTAGGGTTTAGGGTTTAGGGTTTAGGGCTTAGGGGAGCAGGATTTCTCGCAGCATGCCCTCGCAGAGCAACCCCACCCACGGCAAGGTCCCGGCTCGGCGCCCGCCTCTTGCTGGTCGCCCATGGCCTAGAGAGTGAAGAAAGTGACATGGACACAGTGCAAGACACAGACACACACACACACATACACACACACACATACATATATATATATATATAAACGCAGAGTGACAAGCATGGAACTTGTGCTGTGTCCCTGGAGCCGGGCATCGTTTCCGCCATCAGCCTCTCGCAGGATGTCCAGCTTCTGCAGCCGGCGCTCCTCACTGCAGCCCACGAGCCCACTTGCATCGGCGACATCTGCAAGCTTCCTCTCTACTATCGGTACAGTGTATAGGATGCTTAGCCACCTGGTCTAGAGGACTTGCCTAAACTGGCGTGTCTCCATGGGTCTTCCCAAGAAACCGGCACCCGAATTAAGGCTCCCTTTCCTCGCTGGCCCCTACATCTGGGCTCGGCTTCGCTGGAGACTGCCTGGCACTTTCGAGTTCATGGTTGGGATAATGTTGAAAGTTTAATTTAAATGTCTACTCCTTATTGGGTTTAAGTACCCTTTAAAAGGGTAAAATGTTACCCAACTATGACAGAGCTTCGAATCACTGTGCAGGGCTGCAAACGAGTGCTAAAAGCTAGAGAGCCTGGCCCATGCAAACATGCCGGCACCACTTCTTGTCAGCACCGCTCGACTTTTGTGGCTTGGCCTAGGCAGATGCCAATTCATTGCTCGAGTTTCTGAACTGCTGCAAGTTGTACTTCAGGGTTTGCAGCACCCCTACCGTCAAGAAACAAAGGACATGAAAGGACAAGAAGTCCCATCGTGGCTACGATGTCGCTTCAGCTGCACATGCGCCAAGGCTCCATGATGCGAGCTCAACTCCGATAGTAAACAGGTGGGAGAGAGGTGTGCGCAGCGATTAGGAGCCGACCGATGTCATTTCGGCTGCATCGCCCTTGGAGTCCGTTGCAGTCGCTGTTGAACCTGCCAAAACACCCCCAGGGCCCCAGGGGCGGGTGCAGACTCAGCGAGAAAAGGTGGTAGCTTCCACTCCCCAGGGCCTCCTCGTTCATCTCCGGCAGAGACATCTTGGGCATCCTGTTGCGCCTGGGACCTCGGCATCCGCTGCTGCTTCCATGGATTTCCATGGTCTAGGGCCTATTCCGCTGTCGAACGTTCACCAGTACCAGGCCGCCCTGTGTCTTACCCATCTCGTGCAATCCTTGCAAGTGTCTGTGGAACATTGGCGCCGAGTCAGCGGGCTCGAAGTTGGCAGCTTCACCCGTGCTTCCACCGAACATCTGGTCGTCCTCTGGGAAGGCTTAGCCAGGGACGTCCACCAGTCACCGCATTGGGGGAAAGGTACCGGGCACTAGAGTGACGAGAGTTTACCTGGCCGTACACCTTGAGCTGTGGCCCACGGGGAAGGAGAAACAGCATGAACAGATCGTTGCCGACATTCTCAGATCGGTATCTTCCTACTGGTTTGAGGGCATCTTGCGCACTCATCGCAAGCTTCACCGGCATGCTTTGCCGCATATGGTCCCCTTTGAGGCGCGTCTTACAACTCCCAAGATGAACGGCGAAATTTGAGGCAGCTTCATCGAGTCGGCCCCCATGATCACGATCTTGACGATACTGCATCAGCGCACCATCCTTCATTCATGCAACCCAACCCTGTCCTGCTGCTGCTGTTGGGGCGCAGTGGTGTCCTGGCACATATTTTTGCCCAGAGGTTGCCTGCGTGCAAGCGCAAAGGATTGAGCACGGCAAGGCAAGTGTCCTTGCCGGAGGGGTTGGCGCCGGGATCGCCCTGCTTCAGCCTAGGGCGACTTCTTCAAGAGCTACTCCCCTCCGTGCTCCTGACACATCCCAAAGCTTCCCTCGGAGCAGGGCGGCTCCGGTACCTTCTCCTCCGCCGCCTTCTGCTTCGCCTTGGACGGATCGACATTCTCCGGCTTTTTGTCCCCATCTTGGTCCTGGATCTGGGGGGGGCGGGGGTCTTGAGCAGGCCATTGTCAAGCAATACCAGCTTAGAGGCTTCGAGCCACTTTGATCAGACCGTCCTGCTGTTCCTGGTCTTGTTGGTCAGGCTTCTGCTCTCCCTGCACCTCGGTTTTGGGTTTGTAGGGTTTATAGGGTTTATAGGGTTTATAGGGTTTATAGGGTTTATAGGGTTCATAGGGTTCATAGGGTTCATAGGGTTCATAGGGTTCATAGGGTTCATAGGGTTCAGAGGGTTCAGAGGGTTCATAGGGTTCATAGGGTTCACAGGGTTCATAGGGTTCATAGGGTTCATAGGGTTCATAGGGTTCACAGGGTTCATAGGGTTCATGGGGTTTAGGGTGGCACAAGTAAAAGCACTCCAAGGGAGCCATGTCTACTTAGGAGGCGACGCAAGGATCGATGCCTTCTTGCCTTGGGCCCCAGGCATTTGCTGCTCGCACAGCCGACAAGGGGGGTTTAGGGTGTCGGGCTTCGGGTTTCGGGTTTAGGGTTTCAGGTTTTGGGTTTGGGGATCACTGTCGAACAGCCATCACTTGACCTGGACAGCCCTCACACGGCGCAAGCGTACGCACAGAGTCCATGAATGCCATGCATTGTTTGGGAGCGCGCTCTTCAGCTCCAGCATCGTCTGGAGGTTTCTCCTCTGGGACCTGTCGCAGAGCAGAAACAGCGCCCGAGATGTATCAAACCGTCCTCATCCTGCAAAACGTGGAAAAAAAGCCAGAACATCTGGGCTGCTGACGCCGGGATCAGCGGCATCCAGGTCGCCGATGTCCTCACGTTTGAGGTTTCGAGTTTTGGGGCGATCGTTTTGAAGCCTGCTGGTCGAAGACTTCCAGACCGGGCTCCTCTTCGCACTTGCTTCCTTCTGATCCTTCCCCGTCGTCACCACCATCCCCATCTCCGTCCATATCGATGTCGGACTGCAGATTGTCAGCAAAGTGTCAAAGTGACAGCGCGGCCATCACAACCCCACATATGACCTATGCCTCAACACCACTTACTTTCCATGTCCTTGTATTGTCCTACCGTACCTCTTTCTAGCCCCATGCTCTCTTTGTGGCGCACGTGACTGCCCGTTTTGGTCATCACCGCTTTGGCTTGTCAGATTTTACTTCAAGTCTCACAGAAATCCTGACCCAAAACTTATGGGCGACTGGATTTCAAGCCAAAACCCCTTGGACAAAGGGTGCGACAAGTAGACTTGACGAAACAAAGCGAAGACAAGATGACAACCTGTTTCAACAAGATGTCAACCTGTTTCAACTGACATAATCTCATCGAAAAACACCAACTCAACATGCCTTCAAAATGACTTGTATTGCTTCTGCTTTCCGCGCGCCGTACAATAGCCGGCAACATTCTGAGACAGATAATCGACATGATCCGTTGCGAATTCCGAGGCGAGCTTTGGTCCTTAGGGGTTTTGCAACAGCTTCCGCGTCGTTCCGAGCGCCCACTTTCGCGCTGATTCTGCATTCTGCACCGAGAAAGACACCCACGTGCCTCGAACTGGACAATGCAACAAGCCGTCCATCTCACACGAGTCCGTACGCGCAGGAGTCCAGCCTTGATAAAGTCTGAGTCAGCATCCCCTTCTCCATCACCTTCCCCTTCGCCCTCACCTGGGCTCGGGGTATGGGGCGTAGGTATGACATGCCGGTCACAAAGCACACACCATTCTTTTAGTCGGGCCTTGGCCTTCGCCCTCACCTTCGCCCTCGGCACCATCCCTCCTGGACGACAGCGTCCCAGCTCAATCAACTCTACAGTGCTTTCAGGCCATTTGGGGGTTTCTGTCATTAGGGGTACCTTGTTGGGGCCCTTATTCTAAGGGAATCCTACTATTTGGGGCTCTATATTCGGGGTACCATCTTTTCGTAAACCTCCATTTATGTAGGCATGGCACATCTCGGACACAATCTGACACTTGGGGTCGCACTCTTGAGGCTGCATTTGGACGTCGAACTGCGCATCTTTATCTTCGAACTCCGTCTTGTCAGGCTCTTGTGGCTCCTGCAGCGACGCAAAGTGACACTGCTCATGACCTACTGGAACCCTACATACACTCAGCAAGAACAGTCATATGTAAGAAACTCTAACATACACCCTGCTTCTAACAGTAGTATGAACTGTTATCTGAACCCTCTTTCATATAACACACAAGGCCAAAGCACTCGCTCCAAGTCCTGTTCCGGCACATCCTTGGCATCCTTGTCGGCCTTCCGGTCGTCTTCGGACGGCTTTTGGTTGCTCTTGCCTCGGCGTTCCATTTGATACCGATGATGACAAGAAACCCCTTCCCAGTTTGCGGTACGTCACACAGGTCACTAGCTTTCGAGCCCTTAAAATTAATGAGCATAGTACAAGAAGGTGCAGATTGATGTCCACATGCGGAACCAATAGCTTTCGTGATCTTTCGTGTCCCGCTGCTGCTGGCACTCGCGGAGATTAGGCAAGGACTGTCATTCTCGTCCTTCGCAGTCGTGTCCTTTCATCACGCGCACCCGCTGAAACCACGCACCCAGGCCCAAGACAGGCAAAGATTCGAGATCCTGAAGCCAATATTACCCCTCCGGAAGCTGTGTATGAGAGATTCTTCGTGACCATCACTAGCGTACGTGAAGCAGAGGAAAAGATGATGTCTGGGTGGCGTGCCGCTTCGCCCTCACCCTGCGCCCCATGGGCCTGCACAAAGCAGCTCCGACTTGATGACAAGACAGGGCACCGAAAAGACACAAATCTCGCGCAGCATGCTGCAGGGATCTATGGCCGGTAAGGCTGGTATGACTACTTACATGTATTCTGTGTGGTTCCACAGAAAAGTCACCAGCATTCAAAACGGTTGTCCAGGTACTGCTTCGGACCTCAATGTCCTCTTGCGGTCCCTTCTCCTTCTCCTCGGGTGCATCACCTGGATCTCCAAGGCCCAGGGGGTACAGAGCTTAGCCCACACATGGGCACAGGAGACGCCCAGGCTTTGACCATCTTCCTTGTCATCTTTGTCGTCCTCTCTGCCGGAAGCCCCTAAAAGTGCTGTACAGATGCCTTCAAGCCTCCAGCCTCTGCCGATCCTCGTCCTCGCCATTCCACAGCTTCTCATCGAGAGTCCCACCCTTGGAAAGATCTACCTCGCCTGCCACTGTCACGCTCTGAACGACGTGTTGACTCCAAAGGTGTAGCGGTTCACATGATACTCCGGCCTTGTTGGCGATCAAGGTCTTGCCTCAGGGTGTGCTATGCTGCGTTCATTGTGTGCACTGCGTCCCGGATCAGCGAACACCATGCCGAGGCATGGGCTCGTCGTCATTGTCCTTCTCCTCGTCCTGGTTCTTATCATCTTCCTGCCGATGTACAAGGAACACATGACATGATGTGAGATGGCCCTAAACCCTAAACCCTAAACCCTAAACCCTAAACCCTAAACCCTAAACCCTAAACCCTGGGCTTTGGATTCCTCACGATTCCCCTGTGAAAACACGGCGATCTGAGGACTCGTGCGCCTCCTGCGGCATGGCTTTGGCTTCTGTGTCCAGGTCGAAGCCCACCTCCCTGGCATTATCCTGCATGGATAGATTCAGAATAAGAATAAGAATAAGAATAAGAATAAGAATAAGAATTATAATACATATAATAATATCTTGGGCATGGTTTTTTTTTTAATTCTCGGGGTGTTTTTTCTTATTCTCTGTCGGTGATGGTTTTTAATTTTATTCTGGCGGTTCTTTTTTCGGGCCTCAGGACACGCCACCCTAATCCGATGGTGTTTAATTTTATTCTACGGGTTCTTTTTCTTAGCCTGGGCAATCCGGGGAGGGGGGGGGGTTATAGGGTCCAAAAGGGGGTTTAGGGGTTTGGCAGATTGAGGAGTTCCGTTTCCACGATCCACCCTGCAGAACAAGGTAGCGTTGGGAATGTTGGGCAATTGGTTCAAGATGGAAACACTGGGAGTGGTAGTTGGTGGGGAATGGCGGAATGGCTGGTAGTGGCGGGAAGGGGGGGAAGGGTGGGAATGGCGGAAATGGCGAGCACATAGTGCTGGTACTGGCGGGCAAGGCGGGGAATGGTGAAAATGGTGAGGACTGGTAGAGAATGAATGGTGGAAGTGAAAATGGCGGGCTTTTGGTGGCGCGTAGTGATGCGTAGTGGTTGATAAGTTGTGGGATAGCGAGTAGGATGTTGGCGCCCCCCGCCCCATCGCATTGAGGGCCGTGCCTTGGCGCAAACATCAGGCTTTACAACCGAAGCTTGACAGCATAATTCGCACGCACCTACTTGCAAGCTTGACTGTGTTTTGCCGGCAGGCACACCGCGGGATGCGTCGCCCTGTACGGCCTGTCCCGCACCCCACGCAGGTCTGTCGCTACGGCAGAGGTTCTTGCCCTGTATGGCTTGTCCCAGGCCCGGTTTGGCGGCGCTCAGCGCAGCGTGCTGAAGCTTATAGACCCTACCTACATGTAAGTCTGACTGTTGGGCTCTACGGCGTTGATGCATGTGCGCCCCGCTCCATACTGGCCCGGCGCTACTACCGCGGAGCTGGCATGGCTCGCTGGAAACCTTGAGACTGTGCAGTCGCCAGCGCGTTGTCTGGCAGAACGGCCTGCGTTGCGTGGCGTCGCCCTGTATGGCACTGTTTGCCACGCTTGTCCCGCCGAGAAAACTTCAAACTCGCCCTGCGTGGCGCTGTTTGCCGCGCATGTGTCCAGCTCCTTAAAATGACTTCAAACTGTTACTTCGAACTGTGCAGTCGCGAGAGGCATGTCCGCTGCGCTGGCTTGACTATATAAGCTTTGGGACACTAGTCACTAGCCTTCAGGCGATCTTCTGCCAAACAGTGTGCACCCCGCGCCTTCCATATCTGCCAGACCGCGTCCAGCTGGCGTGGCTTACAGGCATCGCAAGTCACGCTCGCACGTGGGCAACATAATGGCAGCATGCATCATTACCCTGCGAGCATCACGAGTCACCAAGCTTGCACACGCTCTTTGCGGGGGGAGGGGGGGTTGGGGACCCCATTTCCATGTTTCTTCTGACTCCCACTGACCACGGACCCAGCAGCCCTTCGCGAGTCGCTATCACCCACCTCCCACCCACCCTTATTTTGGCACCCCCGTACCCACTTGCCCACGTCACGCTCGTTTGAAGATGGCACACCGCGAACCACGCGCGCATCACGAGTCACGCCAGACACCGCCACCGCCCGCTCACCCGCCTGCGCACCGCCCGCTTGCTCCAGATCCAGCTCGCCACGCGCGATGCTCAGGGGCATTTGGCCCATCAACAACTTACGACCCCGCGGCCGAACCACCAGTGCACCGTTCCACCAGCCCCATCCGCTCCTTCACCTTCTCCACCCCCGTACCCACTTGCCCACATCTCGACCCAGCCAGAGGCCTCCCACCATACCCACTTGGCTGTTCACGCGGACCTATATGTCGCGCACGCTGTTTGATTTGAACGTGAGCATCGTGCATCACGCCAGACACCGCGGGCTGCGGCCCCCCCAAACCCCCCCCCCGCAAGCGCATCAGAGGGCAGGTGCGCGGCTGGGGTGTGCGTGCAGGGTCCTCCGAATCGGTGGGGCCAGGGTTGCAAGAGGATCTACCGGCGTTTGGCAGGGGCGCACCCCCCCCGGCCTGTCGCCCCAACAGCGCCCGCTCACGGGGCCGGTAGATCCTCTTGCGACCCCACAGCCGAACCACCACCCACTTCCCCACCATTTCGACGGACTGCCCGCTCAGTAGAGTATCCTTTCTTCAGGGGTCCAGCATGCCCACCATCGCATCCACGCGCGCCCTCTCCAGATCCAGCTCACCGCACTGTTCGTGCTTGGACAAGCCACACCTTTGCGGCGGGGCGCTCACCCGCTCACCCGCCCCCAGCTGCCAAGCTCATCCAGATGGGCTACTCTTGGCTCTTCAAGATCGGTAGATCCTCTTGCGACCCCACAGCCGAACCACCACCCACCTCCGCATCTTCCCAACCCACACTTCGACTACCCACTCAGACGGGGCCTCTGATTGTAGAGGATCCTTTCAGGGGTCCAACATGCCCACCTTGCTAATCCCCCCCCAATCGCATGCACACACGCCCTGTCCACATCCAGCTCACCACACTGTTCGTGCTTGGACAAGCCACACCTCCTCTTTTGCGACCCCGCAGCCGAACCCCCCCTCCCCACCTTCATTTTCCCAACCCATATTTCGACAACCACTCAGACCGGGCCTCTGCTTGTAGAGGATCCTTTCAGGGGTCCGGCATGCCCACCCTGCTCATGCGCCCCCCCGACCCCATCCACACGCGCCCTCTCCGGATCCAGCTCACCACACTGTTCGTGCCTGCGGGCTACTCTTGGCTCTTCAACGCCGGTAGATCCTCTTGCGACCCCGCGGCCGAACCACCGGCACGTTGTTCAGATTTGGGGGACCTCCGCAGAGAGCCCCTGCGAAAAGGACATGCTCGCATTCTGCGTGCAGTACGTGGTGGAGACATGTACAGACCTTGTAGACATGTTCTCCTACACGCCCTCGAGGCCAGTAGGCTTTCACCCAGTGACCTTCACACACGACGACGTGATCCACGAAGTACTGCTTAAGCACACCGCGGTTGAGGCGCAGCATCCCGTCCGGCGCGGCGAACAAAATGCCTGCGCGAGTCACTAGATCTTGCAGCTCCTGGCCCTCCTTGTAGAGCATCTGGCACAACGTCCAAGCCAAGTCCTGGCCGGTCTGGCAGACTCTGATGTCAACGGGCATTTCTGCACGCACGCACGATATGTTCATCTACCCTCCACGCCTTGTCGACCACACCCGACGGCGAGGCGAGGATCCAGAAGGTCGTGTACTGCGAGTCGTCGGTCTGACTCCCGCGCGGGGTCCCCGTGCCTCGGTGCATTCGACTGCACACTTAAGCCTGCCACTCACGGCCCCTGACGCATTGCCGAGTTGCAAACTCGAAATTTGACGTGGTTGCCCTCGTTCCTCATCTTCCAGTAGTCGACGGCGGGCGACCGTCCCTGTGAACGGAGCGTCGCACTGTTCATGAGGTGCTCACTCTCGCCGACCGGAAAGGCACTCATTCGCATGGCGGTCCCCCACTCAAACGTCTTCCGCCACTTCGCACACAGGTGCTGGAGACCATCAAAGGTGGCCAGAAGACTGCTCCGCGTGCGACTCTTCAATTCGGCTTCCCACGCCGCATGCCGCGCTTCCAAGGGGTTGGACCCTGCACCACTGCCAGGGCATGTGCCGAAGACACCGGCCCAGAAGGACGGCAACCACAGCTTGCCCCCATGCTGCGGAAGAGCGACGATGGTCTTGAACACACGCTGCACATCGGCGACGGCGCACTGCTGGAAGAACTGCCTCTGCAGATAAGCTGCAGCGTCCGCAGGAAGGTCCTGGAAGATGGCTCGCCATATCAGGTCCGTCAGCTGCAGCGTCGGCAGACACCTGCACACGGCAGCGTCTCTTCTCTCCTACATTTTATTTGCCTCTACACCGCTCTGACTCTGGACCTTCTTATCGCCAGCCTGGTGAGGTCGGACAGATCGTAGACATTGCTGAGATTGGAGTCACGCTTCTTCCTGCCGCGCTTCTTGGCGCCCTGCTGCCCGACTCGATCCTTGCTGGGAAGCGACTTCCGCACCGCCTTCTTGTAATGGAAGTAGTCGCCAAGGAAGCGTGCAGCTGGGAACACCTTGCGGCGCGCTGCAGCGATGCCTGGAGCGAAGTCGGCTTGCACCTGAACAATGTTCCTCTGTAAGTCGAAGCCTGCAGCTTCCTGACAGAGCCAAACGAGATCCTCGAAGCAAGCGACCAGATTCTCTTCTCCCTCAGAGTTTACGATTGCTTGCATAACCGGCTGTGCCGTGCACGTGTGGGCCATGTACTGCTGGCGTCGCCCGCTGATCGTGGTCGCCGAGGTGTTTGCAGGAGCCGGATTGCTCGCTGCAAAACACAGCGTGACGACTCCGTAATTGTTGGCAACTGCTCCCATTTTCATGTCCACGATGAGACGGATGCGGTGTCGCGCCGCGTCTCTTAGGCGTAGGAGCATGCCCGGACAGGTGACGGGCACGTACACCCGATCTTCCTGGACCACAATGCCATGCGGCGACTTCAGCACGAACACATGCGCCAGGTCCGGGGACTGCAGATTCGAGGAGACTTCTTCCTGCCGCCTGACGGCCTCGTCCTTGAAGGGCTGGATTGGCAGTGGGGCCACGGCTGACGCCGTGCCATGCTTCTGCCGCAGTCGCTTCACGAGGTTGTGGAGTTGCTTCGACTCACAACCCAGCTCCAGCTCCTTGCGCGCCAAAGCCTCTCGGATGTTGCGGCTGGTGATGGGCTCCCTGGCTTCCACGATCTGATTGACTGTGTGGGCGACACCTGCTGACAGGAGACGACCACCTGTCGCCAAACTTCTGTTGCCGTGTGCGCCCCGACAGTCCACGGTGACCTTGCCCTCGGCTGGCCCACTGACCCACACCGTCACTCTAGCGCGGAAGGAGCATTTGGGGCGGCATTCCGCGCATGACCCCCAAAGCTTGAAACCGCCGCAA